GAGGACAACCACATTTTTTTGGGCTAGCATTTTCAGAATGTATTTCCTCATATTATGGATTATATAATTTGGATGTTTGCAAAACTTCACTAAGATCCTAATATCATGCCTCTAAAACTGCTTAAACCTTAAATAATTGGATGGATTTCAGGGTTTATTTAGAGAACTAATAAGTTTATTCCATTGATTAAAAAAGACATTTCTCAGAAAAGCATAAGAGAATTTGACTTTTTATAAATTATTAAAAGGCTAAAAACCATATGTTACTTTTTTGTATGCTACATGTAAAACTTCTTATAATTCTGATATTTTATATTTTACTCTATTTAGAATTTTACTTTTCATTTTGATACCCAGTTGACACACTTGGGGTTACAATGTTATCAGGCCAGATTTTTCTGTACCCAAGATTTGACAATGAATAGTCCTTTTCCAAAATTCAGGTTAATTTTTTTTTATGTCTAATGCTTTGTCCATGGTTGCTTGATTTAGTTAGCCCACTATCTTGTTCCAGATTCTTATTGTCTGTCTGATTGATGTATCAAACCAAATAGCCCAAATGTGCATTTCTTCAATTTTGAAAGCTTTTGTATCATTTATTTTGGTGATTTGTAATAAGATCTGTCAATGTTTATATCTTTTTTGCCGCATGGAAACTTTTGTCTCTTTTATTTTTATTTTTGTTGTATTCATGATTCTTATTCATTTATTATTTACATAGGATGCACATTTCTAATTTTAGTTTTCAGTCTGTTTGTATACATTTTATTTGAAACGAAGTTGTTCTAGATAGTATATCAATGGATTGTGACATTTTATCCATTCTGACAATCTCTAGTTTTTCTACGATAGATATAAATCTACTTACATTTAAAGTAATTACTGATAAAAAAGGATTTAGTTCTACCATCTTGATAGCAGCATTCCCTCTACCTATTGCATTGCTACTTACTTTTACGTTTCATTGACATTTTGGTTTTAATATTATATAATTTTAATATTTTATTACATTTTATTTTGAGTTTATAATATAATTGTGTAATTTACCCATTTTTTCCTTCCCTCAATATTGGGGGTAAAAGGGGGTATACTCCTATATACTCCTCCTCACACTCAATCAAATTCATGGCCTCTATTTTCATTAGTTGTTTTTACATGCCTATATGTATGTATGTATACAAATTGTTTTTCTGAATATAAACTGCTCATTCTGTAGTTGTTAGTTGTGTGTTTTTAGAGCTGATTATTTGGTATTGGATAACAATCTGGTGTATTCTTTCCTAGGAAAGAATGTTTTCCCATTCTGAGGATTCCTTAGTTGCCTGTAGTTTTTTATCTACAGTTGAGACCTTATAGTCTTTCCTTCATTCACTTTGGTTTGTCTATTGTTGTTGTCATTCTTCAGCTTTTGTTTTGACTATCATTTTCATGAGACTTTATAGATGTAGCTTTTGACATTCCTAGGAGAGATGTAATCTCCCTGCAAGCCCTCTGATCCTCTGGTTCATACACTCTTCTACAATGATCCCTGAGCTTCAGGTTCAGTTGTTTCATAGATGTATTCATTGGAAATGGGCCTCACAACTCTACATTTTAGTTGATTGTGGATTTATGTAATGATCTCCTGCTGCAAAGAAGTTTCTTTGATAAGGGTGAAAACTACATCTGTCTGTGGATATAATGGCAAATACTTAGAATGCAATTAGGGTTTATACTCATGTAGTAACGTGGTAGTTGTGGCTTTTCCTTTAAAACCCAGGACTTCACTAGTCTTGGGTGGCTGGCTAGCTTTCCAGTAGCCAGGAATGGCTCTTCACTTGCTTTGTAGGCCATCAGTCAGATCAGAGGGCTGTTGGTTACCACCAAAATAGCTGAGTTACTATTACACCCTTATGACTACATGCTGATCATTATTACGGTTTGTAGGTGTTTTGGCTTGGTAGGAATGCTGGTTTCTTCCATCCTTTGAAAACTTTTATGACACCTTCTGGTACCATGAAATGGTCCCCTGGAAGAGGCATTCAGGTCAATTTCATCTCAGGGGCTTGTGGGTCTTCTTTTACCTTCCATCTTTGGAGAACAAATAAGAGCAAGAGTAATAGTCTGGAATATTTGATGAGTCTCCTGGACAATTGTGGCCAATAATTCCAAAGAAGGTTTCCTATGCCTTGTATTTAGGTTTTGTTAGATGATCTTTGGCTCTTGCAAAGAACATTGTCAGCTCAGATATTCAGATGTGAATATATATTCTATAGGATACTGCAGAGAACAGAAAAGATAAAAAGGTATCATTCCTGGAGTGGGGCTTGTGGAAGCAAATGAAAAAGGGAGTAGCCATACATAAATAATATGATAAGGAAAGGGGCAAAAGAGGGGTCTCTAATTAGGGAGAAAAGCAGGAGCTAAATACAGAGGAAGAAGGCAAGAGGGTTAAATAACAGAAAGAATTTCTGAAAAAGTCATAAAAAATCATACTATTAACTATGTACCTCCTAAAATACTATACCACATATAATTCTATTTATATGTACTTACTTTATAATTTATTTTTATGCATATATACACTTACATGCATTTATGTTCACCAAATGCTTACAGTGTTCATGGAGGCCAAATGAGAGTGTCAGATTCCTGGATCTGAAGTTATATAAGAAGGTATGAGTTCTGGGACCTGAACTTGTGCAGGTCTGCTGTAAGAGCAACAAGTACTCTTAGCTACTAAACTGTCTCTCCAACCCCATATTTGACCTTTGTCAACTGACTGTTTATTATCCTTTTAGCTAATCTTCAACTCCCTTCAGTATTTTTGCTGTGCATGTCTCCTGGTAGCAAATTCTACTTTTTGTTTACCTAGGAATAACTTACTTTCTTTTAATTTTGAGCGGCCTTTCCAGATGAAGAATTCTGTTGACTGGTTTTATTTTCCTAAATAGAAGTCTGTTTATAGTACCTCTTTCTTTCTCTCTCTCTCTCTCTCTCACACACACACACACACACACACACACACACACACACACACCACCCTCCAGCTCCTTTTAACACTTTGAACATGTTGGCCCATAACTTTCTGATCCCTGAAGTTTCTGATAAAAACTTATTATGTCAGTTCTCTTGTATGATAGTGTTAATTGTTGACTTGACTCCCCGGAGAATAATCTGAGACAGGCCTCTGAGCATATGTGTTGGGGATTCTATTGATTGCATTAACTAACTGGTATGAAAAACCTCACTTATCTTTCCCTAGATAGGGAATTCTGGTGTGTACAAGATGGAGAGAGTGAACTGAGCATTGAATACAAGTATGTATTCATTGTTCTTTTATGCTGACTAGGAATGTAAAAAGTTGTATATACTGTTTTTTATTTTCTCAGATGAGGGGGGAGATAAAAGCCAACCTAAGCTTTATGAATACATGGCTTGTGCTGAGCCCAGAGAATTTCTATTTAACTATCCCTAGGCCTTGGCCTGGGAGCTTCTAACCTCCGTGCAATCTAGTCTTCTGTAACACAGGACCTTGAAGCCTTCAGTTTTCATCCCCTGAAACTTACTGCTTAGTATACTCATCCTTTTTAGTTCTTTCTGAACTTTAGCTGGCTAGTTCAATTAGCTAGTCCTTCTGACTCAAACACTTCTCTAAGATGACTGATTCCAACTGACTTTTCATGGCTTCTGAATGAGTTGGTCTGCTTGGAAAAATTACCTCTGAACTCCATAAACTGAACATCACTGACTGCACCAAGTGAAGGGAACTGAACTGAACTGAATGAACTCAAACTTCCCTCTCTCTCCTTGCACTGCTCTAACGCAGCCTCTTCCTCCTGTCTATCAGTGCACATCTATCTTTGACTCATTCTGTCAAATCTTTCTTTGGTTTTTCATTGTTTGGGATTAAAGGTGGGTACCAAGGCATGTCTGCATTAGCTATAGAGGGGTTAAAGGTATGTGGCTTGTCTGCATTCCAGCCGATCACAAAGATCCAGATGGATGTGATCCCTTGCCAGATCTACTTCAACCCTCTGATTCTCTAACTTCCCAGTCATTACAGCCAATGCCTTGAACTGTGAGCAAAGTGAATATTTTAATCCCTTTACTCCTCAGATGCTATCGTCAGAATAGTTTATCATGACACCAGAAAAAGAAAGTAAAACAGAAATTGGTAGTACAAACTTGGGCTATGACTGTGATAAACTTGACTGGTTCTTAGGCTACTGGAATATCAGGTTAAAGAATTCCTTGAATGATAGACACGGATCTAAGTGGGTCATTTGGGTGGACACATGGCACACAGGAGTGCTGAGAGAAATGTGGACAGTGGAGGCCAAGCCTGTGAACTATCAGGGCATGGGAGAGGGGAGCAGCAAGGGCTCTATTAGCAACTGAACTACAGACTATTCATATGCTACCTTAGCCAAGAGTCTGGATTCATTATTCTTGTGACCTTGAGGAGAGGTCATTATTCTTGGATTCATTATTCTTGAGGAGAGCTGAATTTCAAGACAATGGACTGAGTCACTTTGATAAGAAAGCATCAATGTTGGTGGGGAGAAACAGCTATATTCATTAAAGAGATCAGTGCTCCTCAAGAGAAGCCTCCTGTTATGCACTGGAAAGATGGTATCCCAAAGTCAAAACCATTCTGCTGGAGGGTCCACTTTGTGCAGATCTGAACTCACTTAAAGAAAAATGCCCATGCTGAAGGGGTTTCCTGCTCCTCAAAAGGAACTTAATAGGGAAATATTTACCAAGGTCAGTACACAGAAGCTGTTAGGATTGTGCTCTCCTGTGGTTCAAGGAGAAACATTGTAACTTGGAAATACAGAGCTTTTTCTTTTCTTTTCTGGAGTTCATAGTGAAGAGACTCTTGACTTTTAAAATATTGGATTAATAAAGAATATGTCAAAATTTAGGGTTTATAGAGTTTTATGTTATGACATAAATGTGAGACTTTTGGAGAAGGATTGGATTAGAAGTCTATGAGTTAAAATTGATGTCTTTGGAAGATGGTACCAAAAGAGAAGAAGGAAACTCCTGCCCCTCACAAAGCCAAAGCCAAAGCCAAAGCCAAAGCCAAAGTGAAGGCCTTGAAAGCTAAGAAGGCAGTGCTGAAAGGCGTCCACAGCCACAACATGAAGAAGATCAGCACGTCACCCATCTTCCAGCAGCCCAACACCCTGCAGCTCCGGCGGCAGCCCAAATACCCTCAAGAGAGTGCACCCAGGAAAAACAAGCTCGGCCACTATGCCATCATCAAATTTCCCCTGACCACCGAGGCAGCCATCAAGAAAATAGAGGACAACACACTTGTGTTCATTGTAGATGTCAAGGCGAACAAGCACCAGATCAAACAGGCCATGAAGAAACTCTATGACATTGATGAGGCCAAAGTTAATACCCTGATAAGGCCTGACAGAGAGAAGGCGTATGTTTGCTTGCCTCCTGATTATGATGCTCTGGATGTTGCCCACAAGATCGGTATCATCTAAACTGAGTCCAGCTGGTAAATTCTAAACGTATACTTTTCTACCATAAAAAAAAAAATAAAAAAAAAAATTGGTGTTTGGATATCAAACCAGCAAGGGATGGATAGAGTTGTGAGAGTATTACTTATCAAAATGACAGAACTAAGGGCCTTTTGATAGATAGGCATATGAGCAGTTCTGTAGGGATTCTCTAGATTACCTTATTTGACGTGGGAAGACATTTCTTAATTATAAGTTAGGCAGTTCCCTAGGAAGGAAGTTTTAACTTGTATAGGGAAAGTGAGCTGAGCTCTGCATGTTTAGTTCATATATTTAGATGCTTCAGCTCTTGCTGTCTTGATTTCTCTACCATGACGGCTAGCACCTTGAATGGTCAGCATTAAGTGCTTTCTTCCTGAAGTTGCCCTTGTCAGCGTATTTTGTCTGAGAAACAGGAAAATAAACTGAGACATATTGCTGCTTTCATCACTCTTCCTTTGTCTTTAGGAAGTTTAGCTACAGTGTGTCTCAATATGACTTTGTGAGTGAGTGTGTGTGTGTGTGTGTGTGTGTGTTCCATTTGTTCGGTATCTATTCACATTTTGGGGTGTTTATAAGTATATTATCTATTCTGAAAAAATAGCATTATTTCTTTTTTTATTTTTTATTAATTACACTTTATTCATTTTGTATCCCCCCATAAGCCCCTCCCTCCTCCCCTCCGGATCCCACCCTCCCTCCCCTTTCTGCATGCATGCCACTCCCCAAGTCCACTGATAGGGGAGGTTCTCCTCTCCTTTCTGATCTTAATCTATCAGTTCTCGTCAAAAGTGGTTGCATTGTCCTCTTTTGTGGCCTGGTAGGGCTGCTCCCCCCTCAGGGGGAGGTGATCAACGAGCAGGCCAATCAGATTATGTCAGAGGCAGTCCCTCTTCCCATTACTAGGTAACCCACTTGGACACTGAACTGCCATGAGCTACATCTGTGCAGGGGTTCTAGGTTATCTCCATGAATAGTCCTTGGTTGGAGAATGAGTCTCTGGGAAGTTCCCTGTGTTCAAATTTTCTTGTTCTGTTGCTCTCCTTGTGGAGTTCCTGTCCCCTCCAGCTCTTACTATTTCCCACTTCTTACATAAAATTCCATTCACTCTGCCCGACAGTTGGCCATCAGGCTCAGCATCTGCTTTGATAGTCTGCAGGGCAGAGGCTTTCAGAGGCCCTCTGTGGTAGGTTTCTAGGTTGTTTCCTGTTTTCTTCTTCTGGCTTTCAGAGGCCCTCTGTAGCAGGTTTCTAGATTGTTTCCTGTTTTCTTCTTCTGATGTCCATCCTCTTTGCCTTTCAGGTGGGGATTGAACATTTTAGTTAGGGTCCTCTCTCTTGCTTGGTTTCTTAAGATGCATAGATTTTAGTGGGTTTGTCCTACGTTGTATGTCTATATGAGTGAGTATATACCGTGTGTGTCTTTTTGCTTCTGGGACACCTCACTCAGGATGATCCTTTCCAGGTCCCACCATTTACCTGCAAATTTCATGATTTTCTTATTTTTCGTTGCTGAGTAATATTCCATTGTATAGATGAAGAATGGATGCATTATTTCTTTAAAACTTTTCTCAGACACAAGCTTCCTTCTTGTTTTTCTCATATTCCTGTAGACTATTGTTTGGTTTTAAAATGTCTCATACATCCCATAGGCTCTGTTCACTCATCCTCAATATTTTCTTATTCCTTATACACAGTAATTTCCATTGTTGTACCTTCAAATTTGCTAATGTTTTCTTCTTACTTTTCAGATCTGTCATTTGATTTTTCTGGTGAATTTCATTTAAAAATTTTAAACATTGCACTTTTCAGCTTCAGAATTTTTGTTTATTCATTCATTCATTCATTCATTCATTCATTCATTCATTTGCTTTACATTACATCCCTATTGGAACTTCCTCTTACTCCTCTTCTCCCAGCCCACTCCTCTCTCCTCCTCCTATCCCCCATCTTTTTGTCCTAAGAGAAGAGGAGACTTCCCATGGATGCCAACACTCCTTGGCATATCGGCTTGCAGTAGGACTAGGCACACTTCTCTTATTGAGGCCAGACAAGGCATCCCAGTTATAGGAAAGGGACCCAGAAGCAGGCAACAGAGTCAGAGACAGCTGGAGCTCTTGCTGTCACAGGTTCCATAGGAAGACAGAGCGGCAGTTGTATAGCTGTTGCAAATGTGAAGGGGGCCTAGTTCTATTCCATGCATGATCTCTGGTTGGTGATTCAGTTTCTTTGAGCCCCCAATGGCCCAGGTTAGCTGATTTTATAGTTTGTGTGTGTGTCTGTGTGTGTGTGTGGTGTTATGGTGTCCATGACATCTCTGGCTCCTTCTATTCTTCCTCTTCTTCTTTCACAAGGTTTCCCCAAGCTCCACCTAATGTTTGGCTGTGGGTCTATGCATCTGTTTCCATCAGCTTCTGGAAACATCCTCTCAGACGATAGTTATGCTAGGAGCCTGTCTGCAAGTATCGCAGAATACCATTAAATGTATCAGGTGTAGCTATTCTCTCATGGCATGGTTCTTAAGTTGGGCCAGTTGTTGGTTGGTTATTCCTTCAATTCCCACTCCCTTTTCAATCCTGAACTCCTTAGAGGCAGGGAAATTTGTGGGTCAAAGGTTTTATGGCTGGGTTAGTGTGTCCTCCGTTGGAAGCCTTGCCTGGTTGTAGGCGGTGGCCATTTCAGGTTCCATATCCCCTGTTGCTAGGAGTCTCGGCAAATACTCTGTATTTTATTTTCTTGGTTTCCACCCTTTTTCTCTAGTTGTTTGAATTTTTGGGAAGTGTGAATGTATATATGTATGCATGTTCATATATATGTGACGCACATGTGTGCAGTAGACATTGAAGCAAAAGGACAACTTTAGGTGTCATTCCTAAGGATACATCAACCATTTTTATTGTTTGGTTTATTTTTATCTTATATTTAAATATTTTTTAGTTTGTTTTTGGAACAGGATTTCTTGCTCACTCAGAGCTTGCAAAGTAGGCTAGACTGCCTGGCCAGTGATTCCAAGGGGTTCATCTGTGTCTACCTACTTCGCACTGAGATTACAAGGCTTTTCCACCACTGCTGACTTCAATCATCTTTCAGTGTGAGTTACTGGAATGGAGCTCAGGTACCCACGCTTAAAGGGTACCTTATAAACTGAGCTATCTCTCAAGACGTGATTCTTTGAACACTTAAAAATTGTTATTTTATCCCATTTCACTGTGCCAACTAGAAAACCCTATCTCTCAGAAAGCACCCTGATGCTCTGGCACTTATACTGTTTCTGGCCCTCTCTTCCAAGATGTTTTATAAAGCTTAGGTGTGGGGTTATACAGAAGTTGCCTATATAAGACGAAACTGGAGCTGGCCTCCCCACAGACCCTATCTCTGCATTTTTTTTCTAGTGGATCTCTGTAGTAACCTCTACTGCAAAAAGAAGCTTCTTTGGTGAGGGTTGAGAGATGCACTTGTCTGCGTGTTTAAGATCAAGTGTTTAAAGTACCCTTAGGAGCTCTATGGTTCTAGAGTAAAATATCTTAGAATAAACTAAACCAAGGAGGTAAAAGACTTCTACAATAAAAACTTTGCATCTCTGAAGAAATTGATCCAAGAAGATGGACAGACTCTCTCTGTTCATAGGTTGGTAGGGTTAACACTGGAGAAATGACCGTAAATATAGATTCAATGCAAGCTCTATCAAAATCCCTTGACAATTCTCATAAAAACAAAACCAAAAAACCCTAAAGTTTATTCAAAAGTACGAAAGACTCTACATGGCCCAAACAATGATGCGTTGAGTTTCTAAGAGGCCCTTTGTGGTAATTTGTCACTAGTGAAGGAACCAAGAAGTAAAAAACATAAAGTTCCTCTTTTCCCAACACATTGGAGGGAGGAGACTTTTGGAGTCTTTGAGATTGCTTATTTTTATATGTATATAAATATGGGAATATTCTTGTATTATTCAATTTAAAGGAGTTTATCAAGTCCCACATGATGATCTCTGGATGCTCTTAGTAGGTAATGATACAAGAATAAATGAGAGACAGTAGATTTTTGCATGCACAATAAATGACACTTCATCAGTCTTCTTAACTTTCCTGTTCTCTTTTGACCTACATAACATCATGCCATTTTACAAATGACCACACCAACACAAGTAATACAGCTAATAGAGGGGAGTGTCTGTGTGTGTGTGGGTGTGTTTGTGTGTGAGTTGTGTAATGAAAATTAAATGTTTAATTTTCATCTCCAATATTACACAAATGTAATCAAGTTACTGGTATCCTGAATCCCCAAAAGCTTTCATTTTATAATTAGAGTATATTCCAAAATATATGAGAACAATTACATACTCTGGTGTCTGGTAAACATCCCAGTCTCTCAGCTACCTCTGCTTTTATCCTTCCACTTTCTTACACCATCACTTTGTTCTTCAGATATAAAATTCTTTAGCATCCTTGTGACATTTTGCATACTATGAGTACTGTTACTGATTATTAATGATAATACCTGTTTTCTGAAAGAGATCACCATATTTGTTTTGCTTTCATAGTCCATGCTTTGTTTGATGATGATGCCCATCACACAGGAAATACAATATGCATTTCATGCCTGCTAATCTGTTCAATTATTTCAAATAAGAAAATATAATTCCTATGATTTTGAGGACTGCTGATATTTTATCTGATATTATCTAGATTACATCTTTCTTCTTTGCTCAGCTTTATAAGTTCTGCCAACTAAGAATCCAATTTAAGACTTTTTAGGGCACTTATTTTTGCCTCTTCTGCCATTTCACACATTCACTGTTGGAGTGACAAAGTCAATATTTTATTGCATCCATTCTTCCTTATAAAAATATGTACATCTTGCAAATTCACTTTTTTTTCAACACAGTATTTTAAAAGAGATTGTGAAAATAATTTTCTCCTATTTCTTTGTTGAGGCTGATGTGACTTGGCTTCTTCAAAGTGATGAGAAAGAACTAGCTGACATTGA